AGCCGACTCGCTAAACTTGATATTGAGAGGGTCTCTACTCGTGCATGAAATCCCGTCTGTTGTATAGAGAATAAAATACCACTCTGTGGCTGATTATTAAGAGAATGATGGTTAGTATGGTCCCACCTATAAAAACCAAAACAGAGAAAATGTATACCTGTCGTTACAATTCCATAAATATAATCAAAGTATTCCCCAAACGCATCATCTGCTTTACGTTTTTTCTTGTTTACTTGCAATGCACTATCGCATTGGATCAGGTTCTGGGCAAAACCCATGGCTACTTGGTGCAACTTCCCTTCTGTGATGCAAATAAGTTCTTCGAGAGCCTTGATAGCATAGTCTACACGACCGGAGTTTTCTTCACCAACTTCAAGCTGAGGAGCTATACTAAGCTCTTTTTTTGTTATTCTCTTGACAATATAGAGTGATGCGTGAAGGATAGGTGAAATATATTCACACCTCATGGCTTCGTTGCTATCAGCAAGTATAGTCCCCATGTTTCCCAACTTACGCTTAACTTCCTTTATGCATTGTTGCAATTCCTCATCGTCATCTTTAAGCGGATATGTTGCTTAGAAAACGGAACAAAGGTTAGCTTGTTTTGTGAACACATATAATACCGAGGTTAATCTGTGTTAAAAACTTACTTGGTGGAAATTGACGGATAGTACCTATACCATTACCATCTATTCCATGTTTCATTAAGACCTCTTTCAAGTCTTTTTGAGTCTTATACGAAGAGAGCAAGTGCCTTTTTTTCTCTTTACATTCTTTAGCGAACTTTGCCAGGCGTAATGCTGGACCTAACTTTAATCCGCAATCTCGGAATTTTTGTTCGGTATAATCAAGAAAATTATCGCCAGTTAATTCTTGGTCACGAATAATATCGAAATGATGCACTTTAAGCTTTAAGTCCTGGGATTCTAAAAATTTGATAAGTTGGTCCGTATCCAATTTGTTAATTTCATCTGCATACGTGAACGACCCATTTTCGTTTGTAGTACTGGAAGTAGATGTTGAAACTGGAGTATTGGATTTAGACATTGTGGGTGAAAAGTGTGTTACGTTACAGAGGCGTTTACTAATTCCCCCAAGTTTCTGATTCTGGCCAATTAGAATGCAAGATCAGGTGTAACGTGAAGATCAAAACGACAATCGCTTTTTTTCGAAAAGTCCCATTAATTTCAAATTTCGCCTAAGAAATCACCTTTGGCACTAACAAAAAAAAATTCCTTGCAAATTTGTATAATGTTGCTCACTAACGCTAACTCCAAACTCTAACTTAGTTAATTAGAAGGTGACATGTAAACTGGTGCGAATAATTCCTGCCAATAGAAATTTGGGGGAAAATTAGTAAATGCCGTTACAGAGTGTCAATAAAATCTAAAAAAATTACTGACTCATGGATCTGAAGTGTATCTGTTGCACAAATGCATTGTCAAGTGATTAATACCTAGATACCTCAATATAAAAAAGTTGTCAATCCGGTTTTTAAAATAGGATACAACAATATTAGTGATACAAATCGAATTGCGGTTTGCTATGATTACAGAATTAATTTTTTTTAATGATTAAATGATCGTGATTGCGATCGCGATTGCTAAAGCCGGCCAATTTATCATAAATCCATAAATTGTCCGGCTTTAGCAATCGCGATCGCAATCACAATCATTTAATCATTAAAAAAAAGTAATCCTGTAATCATAGAGGGTCACAAAATTATGAAAACCGCAATAATCGATTAGTTGTAAAGTTGACAACTAATCGATTTGAATTTTACAGACCCAACTTAGTCGATTGTTGCGGTTTGCAAATTTTGCAGGTCAAAAAAAAAAAAATTAATAAATCGATTATGATTAACGATTAGTGATTTCCGATTTCTAATTTTTTTTTCATACATTTTTTTAAACTTTAGATTAAACTTTAAAATGATGTAAATTTTTATAAAGACGTAATAAACTCTAATTTTAATTTATTAATATTATTAATCAGCTAAAATTAGAGTTTATTACGGCTTTTATAAAAATTTACATCATTTAAAGTTTAATCTAAAGTTTATTGCGGTTTGCAAAATTATGTGAAATTTGATCATTAAAAAACAAGTATCACTGATTTTCGATTACTGATTTCGATTTCTTCAACATTTTTTTTGACTTTTAGACTTGACAAAATTTGCGCATTTATTATTTGTAAAAATTTGATTGAA